TCCGGGGGGGTCTCCGTTTCGGGGCCAGGAGCTGCTTCCCCCTCTCCCCACGCTGCTGGAGGGACCCTCGGCCTCAGGGGTCCCAAGGAAGAGAATCCCCCAGGCCTGGCAACAGGCTTGGCTTTCTTCTCCTTCCTCCCCAGCGCTGGGAGGGAGCAGCAGCTCCTCTGGGACCCCCAGGGCAGTTCCTGGAGAGACCCCCGCGCTGCCCCCTCTGCCCCGCAGCGCTCGGCTCCGGCTGAAGCTGCTTTTAAAGCCCCTTCCCCTCGTGTCGTTTCCGTCTCTTATCGTTCCATGGTTATTTTGTAATGATCTCTGTCTCCTTATTAAAGAAACGAGCTGAAAGGAGCCCCCGTTCCCTTCTGGTCTTGCTGCTGAGGCTCAGCGGGGTGTCTGTGGTGGGGGCAGGTCCCAGGGGTGATGGAGGGATGGGGGCACAGTGGGAACCCCGGGAGGGTCCGGGTCCCCCTTGAAACGTGAGGGTGCTCCCACACTGGTGGGGATGTGTCCAGGTAGCCCTGAACCCGGCTGACCATGGCAGACAAGGGCTGCAGGTGGGAAGACATCCAAGGACCCCAGCAAATTCTTCACTCTCACCACATGCAGTTTGGTCCAGATATTCCTGTTAAGGTCCTGCCCTACTTTGCAGAAGGGCTGGATGCCCCTAAGACCACAGAAGAGTTCAAGCTGCAGCCACCACCTCCAAGACTGAAATATCCAGATTTCCATCAAACTCACTTGGGACAAAGGCTCTGATGTAGCACCAGTGCCCCTGTCCTCACTGCAGGTTTGTCCTGACCAAGCCTCTGAGCTGAGAAAACACAGGGATTGGTATCATGGGGGAAGATGCAAAGGATGGAGGCCCCATCCCTGGCAGTGTTGAAGGGCAGGTTGGATGGGGCTTGGAGCAGCCTGGGCTGGTGGGAGGTGTCCCTGCCCATGCAGGGGGGTTGGACTGGATGGTCTTTAAGGTCCCTTCCGACTCAAACCATTCCATGATTCTATGAGATGGGCCTGAACCCCATTGTGGTTCAGAGGTGTCAGATGGACACACAAGCTCCTTTGTTTGAGCCTTCCCTGGCCAGGCAGGCAGGGACTGTCACCTCCCCGTGCTGTGACTGCAGCAGGGATGGGGCTGCAGAGCATTTCTGCTTTTATAAACAACTGATCTTGCCGTGCTGTGGGCATCTGAGGAGAAACAGGGCACTTAAGGCTAAACAACTTGCAGCTCTAGAAAGATGGGACCAAAGGCAAAGCTTCTATTTTATCAACTCTTATTTTATTCATTTATAAATACTGTGGTGTTTACAAGCATCATAGATGTGAATATTATTCCCAAACTTTCAAACACATAATACTTATAATACTATATAACAACAACCAGTAAAACAAATCATTCATCTCAGGGTTTGAAAGGCCACTCAAAAGTTGCATAAAAATACATTCTCTCCCCATCTTGTAAGCTAGTCCTGCTTCTCCAAGGAGTTTATTTACAAACAGCCATCATCAAACTCACAGCCACAATAGGCGGGTTCACCCCAAGCAATAAAAATTAATTCACCCCAAGCAATTGCTTAGAAAAAAACCCCTTTGTGGTCTCCAGTGGAGATCACGTCTGGCAAATGCTCTGGTTCAAACAGGGATCAGTTTTAAAAACTGCTTGATTTGCACTCTGTCCCAGGTGCAGAGCACAAGGTGTCCCATTTGTCACCTCCTCAGTGCACTGGTTATGTCAGTGAGAGCAAAAAAAATGAGAATTCTTTCTGAAGAACTTGGTTTGCAATTGCATCATCATCCCAAAATCCTCCCGGCTTTGGCTCTTCAGCGAGACTCGAGTGTTGTTGGGGCCTCTGCCCTGGCCAGTCCAGGGGGATAATCCAGTGCTAAGCAGACACTCCAAGGAAAGTGGTTTGGCTGGACAAGGTGCTGGCAGAGGAGTGAGGCCTCTGCACCCTCTGCCCCTTGGGTGTCCTGGCAGAAGGGGCAAAACGTCAGTGCAGGATGAATTTGTTGGACTGGGTTAAACACTCTCCCTAAAACAGATGCCAGGCTTCTTCCCGCCGCCAGGAACCTGCCCCGTGAGAGCACCAGGATCTTCAGTCTGAAGTCTTGTCCCTGTTCCTGCCGGGATGAGCCACGCGTGTCAGGGCTGCACAACCACCCGCAGCCCCAGCGGGCCAGAGTCTTCTCTGGGTGGCACAGAAAGGACTGGACACCCATCCAGAGCTGAGAGAGCCCAAGACTGAAGCGAGGAGTGGGTCACCAAGAGGCAAAACATCAAGAACAGCAGAAGGACTCACATGAAGAGTGCACCAAGGGGCAACGGCGCGCGGGAAAAGCATCGACCTGATCTCAAGACTTAAAGCTGTTAAATAGAGCAGGGTTAAAAGAAAGTAATATAAAAAGGCTGCCTGGCCTAGGCAGTGCCCTGCAGGAACCCTGATGCCATTACCAGCTTTGGCCTCTTCCTCCCCAAAGCACAGCAGCAGAGGAAGAGCCTCAGTGTAGCAGGAGAACCGGCACCTTGTGCTGTGCACAAGGAACTGCTGGGTGAAGAGCAGTGGAAGAGGAACCTCTGTCTAGAGCTGCCTGGGGTAAAACTGGCAGCTCTGGGAAGAGTTAGAGAGGTGGGAACAGGTAGGATGGGGAGGGAAAGGGAAAAAAATGAGTTAAGAAAAAAAAATAAAAGCAAAGAAAAAACTCCCAGGGAGAGGAAAATAAACACTTTCTGAAGCAACAACCAGAAAAAGATTCCAAAGAGCCCAGGACTGACTCAGAAATTTTACCCTGTTGAGCAAGCTCAAGAATTATGATTATGTTCAAGTATCTCATTTGTCTCTCTCAGAGCAGACTGTCCCACCAGCCCAGCAGGAGCTGCCAGCCCATAGTCAGAGGAGGTGCCCGGGAACGTAGGTAGAACCTCCAAGTTCAGTGACTGAGACTGCAACTCTCAGCCAGATGGAGCAGGGAAATCAAAGGACAAAGGGAATGAAAGGACAAACATGGAAGGATGTAGGTTGGCAACTGGTTTGGATACAGCTTCAAGAAGTCTCTGAGAGGGAAGGTATTGTTCAAGAGGAGTCTACTAAGGGGGAAGCTCAACAAATCTGATGACAGGTTAATGCTTCTATCATCAAAATCTCAGAGCATGAAGAGGAGCCACTGTCTAAATGCCCATAGAGAGAACAAAGTCAGACTGTTCTGAGTATGACCAACATTGAAGAGGTTTGTTTTGAGGCTTCCTTCAAGGTCAAGGCTTATTGCAAGCTTTGGACAGATTAAAAGACCACCCTAGAGATGGTTACCAGCACTCCCAAGGGCAGCTCCTTGTCCCTCTTAACACCAGTGCACCCACAAGTGATGCTGCTTCATGCTTCTCTGCCTTGAAACCCAGCATCAAGCTGCTTCCCCAACAGGTGGGTGGGACTGGACTCTGGCATTCCCTCTCTCTTTAACCTGGTCAGCCTCCAGCTGCAAATCACATCCAGGTGCCTGAATTACCTGAGCAGTCTGCTCCACAGGGCTTTGCCTTCATGAGAGGCAGGAAAATGTTCCTGGTGGGTGGTTTCTGGGGTGGGTACAAGGTGATTCATGATCATGTGCATTTGAAAGCAGGAGGAGATCTCGAGGGGTTCAAGCTTGTCCTTCAGAAGGCCTGGCAAGAATCTGTGATACCCTGAGGAGCAAGAGTCCAGATGCAATTAGCAGATGCTACTAACTACTGAAACTGGAGCCCTGGAAGGACACAACATGATACCAAATCTCCCAGGCTGGAGAGGAAAGACACAGTGAGGAATAAGGGGTCTGACACTGAGAGGCAGCGTTGAAGTTACTGAACAGGTTTGAAATATTGTATTAAATAAAAGACTCATTCTGCTGGGGCCAAAGGAGAAGGTCTCTGTGCAAAGCAGCTGTCATCAGCCTGTTACAGAAATCAGTCCTGGTGGCTTTCACAGCATCACATTGTACCCAGAGCCCCACATCTCAGGGTGGGTTGATGGGCATCCTCAGAGTCCCAGCCCACGTTTACATTTCCCACCTGTAAAGGGCTTGGATGTGCCTGGATTGGTTCTTCAGGTGTCACTTTTTACAGTAGGAGCTACCAGACCAGAGTCCAACCCCAAAGACTGGGCTTCTGGAAGAAGTTTTGGCAGCTCAAACTCAGTCCTCGTGTTCTTCTCCCTTGACTAAAACATCTGAGATACCACAACATGCTTAAATTAAAAATAATAAAATGGCAGGGGGGTGTGTTGGGGGGGCAAAAAGGGCCGAGAGGGAATGTACAGCAACGGGCAGGGCAGGGCAGGTGTGACAGGTTGATCCCACGGCTGGAACGCCCACTGTACGTGTGACAGGAGGTGACAGGAGGTGACAGGAAGGGGGCAGGGCGTGGTGGAGGGGTTGGCAGCTGGTGTAGGGCAGCTCGGTCCTGCCTGGGCTTGGCATTGCTATTTGGAGAGCTTGCTGATGACACGAATCAGGGCTCCGTTCTCGTCCTTCAGCCTTTGGTTGTCTGACTTCAGCTCCGTCAAAATCTGCAGAGAGACAAAGAGAAGGTGGGAAACCAGGTCGGGGCTGCTGGGGGGACAAGCCCTGAGGCTGAGTGTCCCCTGCACCCAGCACACTCCTCACATCAGCTGTTTCTCTGTAACATCTCCAGGATCTTTACACACTGGGTGGGGGAGCAGGGAGCCCTGGAGCCCTGGGGAGCAGCAAGGCCAAGCCCCAGGGGGGCAGGGCCCATTGCTGAGCTTCATCCCAAACCTGTTCCCAGAGGCTACACAGGGCTCAGCAGAAATCTAGAACACTGCTTTTTAATTATTTTTTCCTGTTTTTTTTTTTTATTTTTATTTTTTTTTCCCTCCCCATTTTACCAGAACTAGAGGGGAAAACGAAGGTTTGAAATTCTCACTCAGGACTGGACCAAGCCTGGCTTGCAAAATCTTGTTAGAATAACCCCAAATCTCCTTGAGGTCCTGTAGATGTCTAATGCAAACACACATGTCACAGCCAGAGGACTCCTCAGTGCTCAGTGTCTAAGGCTGGAGCTCAACCAAGCGTCCCAACACAGGCAGAAGCCAGAGCTTTTAGTTGGAAGTAGAGGGAGAAACAGCTTTGAGAAGACCTTTCCAGTGTTTCTCATTGGCAAAACCCCCTCCAACCCACCTTGTGTCCCACCCTGCAAGTGGGTGACCTGCAGTGGAGGGTCCTCAGCCCTTTGGGGATGGGAAGGAGACCACACACTCCTGCCTCAGGATGTGACACAGAAGGTGACCCTGCAGCCCTGAGGACCATCAGCTGGAACACACCAGCCACTAACAGCACCACTAGGAGTTCAGCGATGACCTGAGGGGGATCTTGGAGGAATTCCCCCAAATTCCAAATCCTCACCAAGCCCTCTTCTTCCTAAGCTGGGGTCTCAGCCCCGACCACAACCTCCTACCTGCTCCTCTCCCCTGCAGCCCCCACCAGCCCCTGCCCCAGCACAGGCAGACACCAGCTCCACTGCTCCAGCTGCAGCAGTTGGAATGGTTTTGGTTGGAAAAGACCTCGATGATCACCCAGTCCAACCATGAACCCAGCACTGCCAAGGCCACCCCTGCCCCGTGTCCCTCAGCACCATCGCCAGGGCTTGGAAATCCCTCCAGGGTTGGGGACTCCACCCCCCTGCCCTGGGCAGCCTGGGCCAGGGCCTGACAACCCTTGCCAGGGAGAAATTGTTCCCAAGATCCAACCTAAACCTCCTCTGGGCAACTTGAGGCCATTTCCTCTTGTCCCATCCCTTGTTCCTGGGGAGACAAGACCAAACCCCTGGCTCCAGCCTCCTCTCAGGCAGCTGCAGAGCCAGCAGGTCTCCCCTCAGCCTCCTTTGCTCCAGGCTGGACACCCCCAGCTCCCTCAGCTGCTCCTCATCAGACTTGTGCTCCAGACCCTTCCCTAGCTCTGTTCCTCTTCTCTGGACACACAATATTCCCTCCTTTCAGTGTCAGGCCAAGTCATGCCTGGTCCCAGTGTGACCAACCCCATCCCTGCTGGTGGATGCTCCTGATGGGAGGTTCTGCAAGAGAGAGGAGGGGGAAAACTGCAGAGAGGGAGGAGACTGGGGAATATGATGGGCTGGCCGGAGCTTCAGCTAGTGATGCTTAGGAGTGTCTCACTGGACCCAGTGGTGGTGTGACCTGGACATCTCAGAAGGGCTGTGACCAGAAGTCATGACTGTTTATGCAATTTCTCATGGCCAAGTGAGAGGCACAGCCCATCACCAAAATGCTCAGGAGCCCAGAGCAACATCTGCTTCCTCACCCCACACTCCTCTGTTCCCTCTCCCAGCTTCATCTGACACCCAGAAGCCCAGTGCCTGCCAGTCCAGCACACTGGGAAGCTTCACCACTTATTGGGGTCTGCAGACAGACAATCCCTGTCCTCTCTGTGTCACTGCTTGGGGTGACCTTGCATCCCTGAACGTGTCCATCACTCCAGTAAAGCAATGATACGGAGTTCTGCCACTTGCTTTGGTGGAGATTATCTGTCCCCAGTTCCCAGATGCCAGACCAGAGAGCAACCATCCTGGTTTTACAGCTCCCTGGAAGCTCTGGTGTTGGCTGGACCTCACCACATGTTTCAGCACAACTCTGGTGATTACTGAAAAAGGAAGGGATGTAATTATGTGTCAAGCAAGTGCTTCTTGAGAAGTTTCCCAGCTGCAACCCCACTTGCTCCATCAGTTTCCAGTGAACCTTTCTGAAAACTAAAAATCAGCCTTATAAAATTCCATTCCTCCCAGGTGAAGGGCATGGGAAGTAAAGGAACCTTTGGCTTCAAAGCAAAGCACCCTTGAGTTGGGTAAAATAACCTGCCCATGAAAAAGACTGGAAACACAGGAGCCTGAGACATGGACCTTTATAAACATCTCCCAGGGAGGTGGTGGAGTCACCATCCCTGGGGGTATTAAAAAAACGTAGATGTGGCAATTGAGGACATGCTCTGGTGGCCACGGGGGGTGTTTTGTCAATATTTGTTTTTTTTTAATTTCTCACCCTCCAGGCTCCAGGCTGGTCTGAACAGGGGTGCTGAGTGTTCCCTGTGACACCAGAGAACTTCTGAAACTGCATGGATTTTGGAAAAGGTGATTCTTTGAAAAGCACTAGAGCTGCAAGGGCCTGGGAAGTGTCAGAGGTTAGAACAGGGATGTTGCTGTTTTGCTGGGAAGTGTAAGGTACCAGGAACATCTTGTGTTAGACCTACTAAAGAGCTGGAAAACAACCAGCAGAGCCTGCAGCCAGCTCAGACACCAGCAGTGACCCACAAACCTCAAGTGAGGGGGGAGGAGGAGCCTTGGCCAGAGGAGGCACAGCCGGGCAGGGGTGTCAGCAAAGTGACGCCAGGGCTGTCTCCTGGGACAAGAGACACCCGTGACTTACAGTTCATGAAACATAATTTCTGTGAGTCTGGAAATAGGGTGTTGGTTTTTTTTTTTCCCTGTCAGATCTCAAAGGACATTGGGAAGGAGAAAGACTTCAAGCCTCTGCTTGTGAGAAGGGGTGAGTCAGTGACAGGTTCAGGAATGTTTCTGCAGACCAGACCAGAGAGATGGTGAGATCATTTAGTCTGACCATCTGCACAATTCAGGCCACAGAAGAGGAACCAGCCCTCCCTCAGCCTGGGGGATGCACTCATGGTCTTGCACTGAGCCTCCTGGAAGGGGGAAGTCACAATTCCCCTGGTTAGTTTGTTTCCACGGTTAATCATCCTTGATATAATTTGTGTGCTAAGAATAGATTTTTTTTATACCTTAGTGCCACTTCCAGCCTGCAAGAACATGCTGCTTCTTCCTTTTTTTAAAAAAAATAGCTGTGTCTGAAGGGACCTGGATATCCCTACTAACCTGCAAAAGCCTGGTAGAGCCCTAAGAAAGGAGCATTTACAGCTTTATTTTAGCACTGAACCAATGAAGGAATAAGCGAGGATGTAATTTAACTGTGTGATGTGTGAGGGCAAAGCTCACAGGAGGCTTGGGTTGCCAACACTAACTGCTCTGCACTGAATTTAAAATACAAGATGAAAAGAGAAAACACATCTGGTCCAGCTCTGATGGCTTCACCTGCCTTGTGGCCAGACTGCAGAGGCAGAGGAGATGCTGCAGCCTGGCAACTCAGGCTCAAAACTGACTCAGACTCTCTTGAAAATGAGGGTAGGAGCTTGATCTCTGCTCAAGTGACCAAGAAAACCTGCTGAGGGAACTGCTGCCCAGTTGGAAGTTTTCTAAAAATCACTTTCCTGTCTAAAATGTGCACTTTTCATAACATCACTAGAAATCCATTAGATTGCTCATCCTGACCTTGGGTCATTTTCTGGTGCCAGCTTCTCACTGAACTAAGTCCAATTATAAAACAATTCCATTATGAACACATAGCATAAACCTGAGCTGCATCCCCAGCAGTGTGACCAGCAGGTCAGGGAGGGGATTGTCCCCCTTTGCTCCACTCTGGTGAGACCCCCTGCAGGGCTGGGTCCAGTTGTGGACCCCAAACTTAAGAAGGACATGGAGCTGTTGGAGCGAGTCCAGAGGAGGCCACAGAGATGATCCAAGGGCTGGAGCAGCTCTGCTCTGGAGCCAGGCTGAGAGAGTTGGGGTGTTCAGCCTGGAGAAGAGAAGGCTCCAGGGAGACCTTAGAGCAGCTTCCAGTGCCTGAAGGGGCTCCAGGAAAGCTGGGGAGGGGCTTGGGACAAGGGCAGGGAGGGATGGGATGAGGGGAATAGTTTCAAGCTGAAAGAGGGGAGAGTGAGATGAGATGTTTGACTTAATTTATTAATTGGTCTCACCACCTGTGAAGGTGGTGAGAGCCTGGCCCAGGTTGCCCAGAGAAGCTGTGGCTGCCCCATCCCTCGCAGTGTTGAAGGGCAGGTTGGATGGGGCTTGGAGCAGCCTGGGCTGGTGGGAGGTGTCCCTGCCCATGCAGGGGGGGTTGGATCTAGATGATCTTTAATGTCCCTTCCAACCCAAACCATCCCATGATTCTAGGACTGTTTTGAGGCAAGGCCACGGGGAAGGGGTTGCTCACTAACCCATGGGCACTGAGAAGCTGCCCCGAAGCCTTTTGCTGGTGTTAAGGCAGAAGGAAGCAGCTGAGCCATCACCCCTCCACAGCCATCTCAGCACCATCCACCCAAGCCTAGGTCTGCACAGCAAGGCAGGGAGCACATCCTCTGCTGTTCCTCTGGGATGATGGGAGGCATGGACCCCATCCCCATGGACAAGGCAACCCCCCCGAAGGGCAGTTAGTGAAACCAGCACCATCTGCCAAGCAGAGCCCAGGTCAGCAGGGCTGAGCAAAAACCTCCAGAGAAACCCCGCCGGGCAGGACCCCCATGCTGCTGGATTCTGGAGGAGCTTTTGCCACATGCTGCTTTTGAGCCCCAAGCTTTCAGCAGCCATCCTTGAGAGCAACATGGCCAGGGGGAGCAGCCTGGCCAAGCAGCAAAGACCTGCCTGGAAGAGTGGAAGAGGGAGGCGAGATGAGCCGGAGGGAAAGCA